CTTCCGTCTTTTCATAATCTTTCGTTTTTTTTCTTCTTGCTTTTTGTGTGCCAGGTTCACAGCGAGTTGGAAGGGGTGACGGATAAACTTGGCCGCGAAGCCAGGTCCGGGATTTTCAACGTGAAACGTCACCAGCCGCGTTCACCGAGAACACCAACAGCGGCTCCGATCGGGTTAGTTTATTTATATTTATAAGTATATATACTTTTTTATTCTTCTCTTTAAAAAAATTTGCATTTCTTCCCGTTTGCTTGGTGTTTCTTTTTTTGATTTTCTCACCTCCTCATGCTCCAAAGTCTCCGGGTTGTCTCGTGTTTTTTTTTCTTCATTTATTTCAAATCTCATACGCTTTCCGTCTGTTCTGCAAAAACGGTTTTGCGTCACCTGTGTCGGCATTTTGGCACTCGTGTGGTCCGTGTATTTTAGTTCGTTTCTCGCTTGAAGAGAAATCTGCAGCGGAAAGGGTATGTTTCCGTGAGGGTTTGTTCGGAAACTTCAGAGGAATGTTTTCCTCTGCGGAGTGGAAGCCAGTGGAAAGACAGAAAATTGGAATTTCTTTGTGGACAGAAATGACTGGCGAGGTTGAACGGGGGTTCGAATTGTTCAAGGGCCACTGCTGAAAAAAAAAATTAGATTTTTTTTTCAGGCCTGTGCTGAATCCTGCGCAAATATGAAAAATTATTATATTTTTCTGAGTTTATCTTCAATGCTGCCTTTGGAATTTTTAGACTCGCGAAATTTCAAGGATTGTTTCTTTTGATTGAAAAGATGTATTTTTCGAAGCATTCCACAGTTGTTGTTGGATATCTGAATCAATTTTCGCCGCGAACCAGTTCTTGGAGGGCCTTTTTTAAATTATATAAAATGAAATTAATAAATTATTGAGGGTTTTCTAGGACTTGAATTCCGCGTGGAAATTTCTTCAGATTAGATTACTTCCATTGATGAGCAACTGAAAAGCAACATGTTCGATATAATTTTAATGTTTTTTTTAATATTTCCTTTTTTCATTGTCATCTAATGTGAGTGTGTAATTGAACGCGAATACTTGAATCACCGTAATTTGTTGTACTATTAATCAAACCACGGATGCGGAGTGTTAAATTTTTTTTTCAAACATGAGCGTCTAACACTAAATCATTTTAGGAACACAATCATGAAGTTCAGTCGCGTTTCAGCATTTTATTTTGACTTGCCATCAAGCTGCAGAGTACATTTTATCTGAACGGAATAATTTTTCTTAATTTATACTTTACTGGAAGGGAAATGTTGTGCAATTTGTCAAAATATTGGAATGGGGGGCTTCTTTCTGTGATTGACGCACTGCAGCAACGTTCGTCGAGTCGTAATTTTTCATTTGTGTAATTTTTGAGAAAGCGTGTTTTTAAAAAAAATGTTCGCGAGAAAGTTCATGCGAAAATGTTTCAATTTTTTATGCCTCAATTGTTGGGAAGCATGTGAACGCGGAAAGATTGAGGAATTATTTTGAAAAACTTTTTTACCGCATGAACTAGAAGAATTGAAGCAGGTGTCGTCTTTGATTTGAAGCCAACTTCCGCTAAATGCTGTGTTTTTTTTTATCGTGGGAAAATGTGCGTAAATTCTGTATCGCGTGATGCCAACAACGACGGCGGAAAAAAGCGTGATTAGATTTCCGAAAAATTGATGTACTGTAATTTTATGTACCAGAGGTGAAATGATTCATTGAGGTTCATGTCGTAGCAAAAAAAATTGTTAGATAAAAGAAGCAATCTATTTTCATGGTGATTCGATTTTTGGAAGCATTTTTGCGGAAGTGATAATCGAGTACAGTACAGCTGTAATATCTTTCTCTATAAACATTTCTCGTGTGGAGTGCTTAAATATTTCACATGAATCCAGCACAATACATTAAATTTGGTTTGTATGCTTGAGAAACTCAACTGATACTTGAAAATTGAAAGTTTTTTTTAGAACATCCACCCTTAGAAATCTGTACAGGATATTGCTTAGAAAAACTTAATGTCAACAAAAAGTGTTAGCGTTTACCTTTCATTCAAAGTAAATGTTCGCTATCAAGGTTCAAATTTATTTTGGAAGATCAGTTTTCAACACTGAAAAGCATCTGAGAAGGCCAGAGATCTTGAATACATGCAAGTTTAATTTTTAACCAAACTTTTTTTTTTTAGTTTTAGCAAATTTATTCTGAAGTCCTCATGAGTTTGTTGTAATAATATTTCACTGTATCTTACAATTCATACGTGCGGGCATTTCATGTGCAGTATTTATTTTACCTTGTCCCAGCTGGAACCTCGCGTTGTCTGTCAGACCGGAACCCTTGTACAACCCCAATCGACGCGATTACAGAGTTCTTTATCCCACGATGATCGCTGAGCCCGATCGTCGCGAATTCGCGAAACCCGTCGCCAACCTGATGGACACTGGCGTGTCCCCGTTTCCTTCATCCTGTTTGATAGCAACGCGTCCGCGGCGATTGAAACAAGAGCGACACCTAGATGCGATAAATTTAGATGCTTGCGGAGATTTTGAACACGACTTCGCGCCGTGTCTCTTGCCCACCGTGTCTGAGGTCGACGACTTGTTCGGCACTGGTAGTTTTGATTCTGTTGTGCAGCATCATAGGCCTGGTCGCCGGCGGCATCGGTGAGAGGCGAAAAATAAACGGAAAACGGAGATTTCTTCTGCCTTTTTCGTCCATGAGGGAAAAAACAAAGAGGATTTTTCATTGATATTTTACAGACATTTTCTGTTTGAACGCGGTATCGTATTTCACCCTATGCTGGCTAAACAAATTGGCTTTAATGTATTTTGTAAATGCATGAAATTTCGGTCCTCTGACCTACGAAATTAAGATCGATTGTCGTCATAACTTTTCTGGACTTAGCTATTAATTTGTGCTGCAATTTTTCCGTCGTATTTAGGTTGAGACGTTTGAGAAAGGATTTTTTTTTTCAAATGTCGTTCATCGTTTTCATCATGAAAATCAATTTCAGGAATTCTAATCGGTCTTGAGAAGAAATCAGAATAATTTTGTGACCCTTCTATTTTAATTTTGGTACTGTATAATTGTTTTGAAAAAGATGCATTACATTTCAACTAAAATGAATGATCTCAAAATCTTCCGATGGGAAATTCCGGAGAGGGATAATGTTGTAGAAAATTTATTTATCGTTTTAATGAAAATCAATCCCGGAAACTCTTGATCGCAATTCCGAATCAATTCTGTGAATTGTTGAACTGATTTTCTGGAAGTTATGAAATTTTCATTTTTACAGTATTTCGGAAATTTATTTGCTTGAAAATACAAATTTGAGCAGAAAATTTCTCTAAAACGAGTTCGTCTTACAGTATTCAAGTTATGAATTCTTGGGAAAAACTCTTTCTCTAATTTAGTGCACGACTTTTTTTTTTAATCATTTTATTTTGGCGTTTTTAAATGGGAATAAAAATGATAGCTCGACTTCTCTCAATTTTCCAAATTTGTGTTTATGAACAAACACGCTTTTTAATGTCTGTGGAATTTTTCAGCTGGATATCTGGAATTTTTCGCATTTTTAATTTGCATTTCTGAAGATTCTCTTGAAAACAAGCTAAATGTGATCAGAAAATGTCTCTATAAAAGAAAATATGCCTTATTTCAGTGAGGGATTCTAATGAAAAACTCTTGCTCTACTTTGATTGCCTCATTTTTCGTGAGAAACGATTCATTTTATCGTTTTTGAATAGGGATTCAAAATAATGGCTTGACTTGTCTCGATTCTCTTAGGAACAAGCACGTGGTTGGATCGTCGCCGAACAAGAGCGGGGATCCGCAACAGTATGAAGAAATTCCGGACGACTTTAAGCCAGCTGAAAACGGCGATATTGGAGGTGAGAAACTCGTCTTAATTAGTTCTGTCGGTTGCGGTGATTTTGAAAAGATAGGATATTTTTTTTTTACTCCTTGCTTGTCCAGTGTTTTTTTGCCCACTTCTCACGACCTTTTTTTCTCCCCTCTTTGCCTGGTGTTTTCATGCGCCAAAAAAAGCTTACATGCGGTTGCCAAAAAAAATCGAAATGGCAGCGATGTGTCGGCTGTTTTTGCGCTATTGAAACTTTTTTTTAGGTGCCGATTTTGGTGCAAGTTTCTATGAGTCACCTTCCTTTTTTTTCTGCAGCCAATAGACTTCAAGTTGCCTTTTCCTTCGAAATGGAAATCTAAAGGAAATAATTACTAGTTATTCAAAACTGTGCAAATATTGGAAAACTCGAAATTTATTCTAATCTCTTTTTTTCTGTCATCGCTTTTATTTGAGCTCTTTACGATCTACGTTCCAAATTCCTAAAAATGTTTTATATTTTTTATTGAACGGTTGAATTTTGAAAAAGTCCCATCAAATCCGAAAGTAGTTTTTTTTTTCATGAAATTCTGTCGAACGAAAAATTTTACAGATGAGAAAATGTCGAATAAAAAAATTCTCAAAATTCTAGGGATGTTTCGAGGAATAATATTTTCCATTTGTGGAATTGTCCACTGAAGGACAGAGTGAGCTGCGATTATTTTATACGCTTCCCGCGACTATCCATGCATAATATTTTAGAAACGAATAAATCGTGAGAATTTTCGTCCTGGACTTCAAAAGTTTCCTTTTTCGGTAAATAGGTGTCGCCTGAATCTACGCACTATTTGTTTTGGGTCTGAAGTATGGGTAGGATATGCAGTACTGTATTAGGATATTGCACCACCTAACCCTGATTTGAATTACGGTATGTTCCATTAGGCGATTTAATATTAGTTTAAGCTTCTTATGTCGCCTTTTTTTGGTCATGGGGCTCTGGCGACATCTGGTGGACATATTCCCGAAGACTAGGTCGGGCCTAGAAGTGAGAAGAAACGATGTTTCATCCATTTTAAAACCAGATTCAGAGAGTAAAGAATATCCTAGGATCGCGTGTGTTGAAGCAGTTGTGTTTCGATTGTCTTCGTAATGAGCGTGGTTATTCATGGAGTGTTCCTTCTCGAATGATCTAGAGTCGACTAAAGTAAACGGGACCAAGTCACCGGAAATCCAATACGATATCCCTGTCGGTGAGTACGAGGAGAGAAAAAAACAAAAAAAATATATCTACAGGGATTTTAATCCGTAGTTTTGGTCCTCGGTGACGTAAGCCTGGCTTTTTTTTTTTTGTTTACCCTTCCAGTGAAAGTACAGTAGTTGTTTTGCTACTCACATGGTCATGCCTTTTCTGTGTGCGTCCGTTTATTAGTTGCTGCTGCTGATGTTGTTGTAGAATACGGTGTTTTTTTCTGGTATACCTTTTTCTTTGTGCTGTTGACGTTCGTTAACAATTTCTGGGATATTTTTGCTTATAATTTTTTTTTTTAATCGAAAGCGGGGGTTTTTCATAATTTTGTGTCTGATTTGTGCAGAGGCTACCAGAGAGGGACTTCCGCCAGGAGTTATGTACCGCGTGAGGGCGACTTACAGGTACCAGAAAGAAGATGTGGACGAGTTGTCGTTCGACGTGGGCGAGATCATTCAAGTTATTGAATTTGATGATACTGAGGACCAGGTGAGGCGTTGTGATGTGAGGAGATATATTTTTTTGGATAATTAAAGGGACAGGCAGGTGATTTTTTGTTCGTTTGTAAGCTGCTGGGATCACGGAAAATAGGCTGTGTATATTTAAAAATGTAGCTTGAGTGAAACAAACTCGAAAAAGTTTCAAGAAATTCCGGTCAAGTTTTGTTTTTCAATTATGTTCTCTGTGGAGACGAGTTTTTCTTCTAACTTTTAAAAACATGTGACGAATTTTTCATTTTTAAATTTTTTCTGGTTCCTGACGGTTTCTTAGTGGAAACTATCAAACTTATTTAAAACTGTAAACTGTAACTTTAGGGGGAAAATGTTTTGCCTTGATTCTGTGACTGTGCTTTATCGAGATTATTTGATAATTGTCAGAAAAATAAAATAAAAAATCTTAAAATGCGCAGCGTTGAAAGTTAATTAAAACCTAGTTTTTGTAGCGAAGCTTTATTGCTGCAGAAAATACTGTATACGAAGTGATGCTCTAAAATTTCTTATATTGTCTTGCGCTAATTTTGAAACGACTCCTCTATTTCATTTGAACAGTATGGTTAGAAAAAATATTTCTAGCTTGAAAAAATATCTAGTCTAAAAAAAAATTCTAGTTTAAAAATATTTTAGAATGTTCAGGTGTGCCGAGGAAGAGACTTCTGAAGGAAGTACAGTATTTCTTACACATCTACAGTATTTTTGTTTAATTTCATTTTTCAAGATTAGCGCAATATTGAAAATTTTTAAGCATGTCAGGTTCTGTATACTGTAAGGCAAAAGTGTGTGAAAAGATTTTCCATCTAATTCCATTGAAGAGAGATAGAAATGAGTCTTGAATTATCTGCTGCAGAAGCACTTCAGATCGTTTAATGTCCATAGGCCGCCGTTTCCCACGAAATCTTTTTCCTAGTTGTGTTTTAAACTGTGAGTCTCATGACATTTTCCCCAGGTATTTGGGAGCTTGTTGTAAGGGGATGTTACTGTATCAGATATTGAAACTTTGAATTATTTGCGGATGGAATTGCTGGCGAATTTTCATTCAGCTCATTCATTGTTACTGCGCATGGGGTTTTTGGGTGTCCATTCAAAATCACATGTTTAAACTGCAGTATTCGTGAGCAATTTATTTACTGTCTCAGTTTTTTTTTTATGCCATGTGAGACAACCTGTTGAAGCTGAAATCGTCGCTCGGATGACCCAAGTGACCTACTTTTAGGAAATTCCCACGTTATGCGTTTGTTGCGTGAAAGGAAGTTTTAATATATTCCATTGGTGAAGAATTTGTTTGAAGTATGTTTCAACTACGCTTTTTTCTTTCGTTGAATTTTCTTGTTTTAATTTTCAAATCTGTGTCGTGCAACATGTGTACCGTAATCATAACTTCAATGTGACTGACTGTATTTGATGAATTTGCAGGAAGAAGGTTGGTTGATGGGAGTCAAGGAGAGCACTGGTGAGAAGGGCCTGTTCCCTGCCAACTTCACCCGTCCAATTTAGTTGGCTGCGAATGAAGCGGAAGCAAAACCTATAACATCCTCTTGTAAATATACTCCATGAGAAGCCTGCCATACCTTTGACAAGAAGCGAGAGAGAGAAAGAGGGAGATGAAAAAAACTCGAGAGAGCAAAATTTATTGCGAAGAATTGACGACCAATTTTTGCTTCTTCCGCTCGCTCGTCAAACGCCGCTCTCCCGTTTGCGTTTTTTTTTTCGCGAGCAACCAGAACATCAATTCACTTGTTTTTTTCCTTCCTTCCTCGGATTACGCGAAGGAGGAAAAGCCTGATTGAATACTCAAAAAAAAAACAAAAACAAAACACCATTGTCTTCTCATCGCCTCAGATCATGGGTTGTGAGATGAAAGAATGGGATTTTTTGTTTTCTTTTATTGTAGTCTACGTGGTGCTAAATGACAATCCATGACTATATGCGATGTGGGAGGAAATTTTAGCTTGGAAGAAGAAAGAAAGGCTCGAATGTAGTTGTATTCAGTTCAACAAAATTTCTGTTGGAACCTTTTTTCGAAAAAAAAATGAGTCTTGGTATATCTTATCTTGAGAGGCTTAATGCTAAGTTTTTCTTTGTTTTTTTTTCTGCCTTGGAATGTGTGCGTGCAAACGTGTCCATCTTTCATTTCACGCGTGTTTCACTGTTTGTTCCGGCCTAATTTTTCTATTTCGAGTCGTGCAATAATCGTGTAAAAAGGTTTCTGTGCCTCGGGATTTTACGTTTGTCCTGGTAACATGTATATGCGGAAAATTTTATTTCATTTTTTTTTTCGTGCGAATGGTTTGAACGGATTTGTGGTTTTAGCAGGGATTGTGATTGTGAATGATTGTCCAACAATATGCTCAGCGAACAACCTGTGTTTGTATTCGGGATGCCTCAGCGTTTGTGCCGAAGCTTGTCCGACTTTTGTTCTTCCTATCGTATATTTCGACATTTTTTCGTGATTTAAAAAAAGAAAGGAGTGTAAATCCAAGATGGATGACGAATTTGAAGAATCGTTTTGGAGCAGCGACGATATCGGCATTCTATCATAGTCCGACGCATCATATACGTAATTTAATATCCGACAGGAAACTTCAGGCTTTTCTTCGTTTGAACCTTATTTTAAATACTGGTAATCTTTTACAGTACTATTCTCGGTGTTCTTTCAGAAGATAATGGATAATTGCCTACGTGTTCAATTAATGTTTAAGCATTGCATTTTATCGTGAACCAGAAATTTTTTTGAATTCCTATGCTAGAAAGTATTTTTCTTAACTTTGACTTTTGTTTTACTCAGCCTTCTTTCGATCTAAAAAAAATTTTTCAACTGTTGGTTGAAAAATTATGCTTGAACCAGCTTTTTAGCCGAATAACTGTTCTTTAATTTGCAAGTTCAGTGTAAGTGGTTCCCTGTAAGTGCCAGTGCACAGAAATTTAATTGCAGGTCTATTGGAGTCCCTGTATATTTCTTTTTAATTCTTGTAACGTTTGTTTATTTCTTTAATATTCACAAAAGTGGCCTAATGGGGCATGAAAACTTACTTGATTTACCTGAGTAACATGCATCCTGGAGTAAAATGTGCACTTCCTATCTTAAGCCAAAATTGTGATAAAAAAACCTGTCCTCAAGTTAAATGTGCAGTCCATTTTGTGATTACTTAAAAAATGAATCTATCGACATTTGAACTGATTCAATTTTATTCAGATTTTTAAGTATTGCTTCGACGAGTGACTCAGATGTGATGTCCACCAAATGATGAACACCATCTTTATTTCTAATGAAAATTTGTTTTTAATTGTGCAAGGTATGCAAGTAAATATTTCAAGTCGAGAACCTTTGTTCTAGGCTATAATTTTTGAAGTTTCTTCACTAGTTTATTGCTTCCTGTTTCATTTCTGCAGCTGGCTTGGTAATGTACTGGACTATGAATGGAATGTGATGTCTTCTATAGGCACTGCTTAAATAGTTGGGCCTTTTTTTCTCTTCCTGAAAGGTTTGTCGAAGCCTGAGGCGAGTGTCGTTTTTTTTTTGCGGTTCAAATCGTTTTGTAGAATCCCCAGGATTTATTATGCTTGACAGTGACAATTTTCTTTTTTTTTTTTGTTGCGAGTATCGGTATTGGTGTGTGTTACCCTTCTCTGCCGTGTTGCGCTTGGGTTGTACTGTAATTTTTGAGGCAGCGACGAGGCTGACATAAGCTGGGGCGAATTGGCTATCACTTTTTTCTTTTTTTTTTTCTTCATGCTGGTGGAACGTGGTGAAATTTTGACTGCTGGCAGCAATGAAGATGTTGTTGTGAGCAACCTTAAAATAATGGCGTGTTATTTCATTTGCTGAAATTTGTGCGCGTGCGTTAATTTTCTTTTTTGAGAAATTTTTCTGGAGACTCTTGCCAATATGCGCAGTACCATATTTTCGTTCAAGTACCGCACTCCCTTGAGTAAAACATGCACCGTAAATTTTCATAATATTGTACGATTTTGTTGATGGATAGATTCAATATTCAAATCCACGGCAGAAAGAATTTTACATTTTGTGAAAATTTGACTGTTAGGACCGATGAAGATGTTGTGAGCAACCTTGAAGGAATGGCGCGTTATTTCATTAAATGGGTTCTATAGAGACTCTGACAAGGTAAAATATATTTTCTCTCAAGTACCACCCGCCATATTAAGTAAGATGTACACCTTTAATTTTCGGGATAAAATTTTTCCCTGCATGTGGCGCACAACCCAGTTTTTTTGGTGATCAATAAATTCTATAATAAAATCCTCAACAGATGGAAAGTAGCATTTTCCATTAATGAACTACAGTTGTTGGGAACACGAAACAAGCCAAGTAGAAAGCAATTACCGCATTTTCTTTGTGTTTAAAATTTTTTACAAGAGTCTTCCTACCAATTTTGAACCATCACACGAGAAGTAAAGTTTCTTCAGTTAAAATGACATGTTTACCCATAAGAAGCTTTTTTTAAATCAATTTATTGATTTATTTTTTCTAGTTTCTCTTCAAATGCCTGTTCATTCTGCGGTTAATAAAAAATGTTGGGAGCAAAATTCATAAGTTCCAAAATTATTATTAAAAACTAAGGAACAATTGAAAAAAATCAGGTGATGATTGATTTTATCGTGCTGAATCTGGAAAATTCCATGTCCCTCCCTTAGCATGGTGTCCAAACATGGCAAAAATGTTTTTTGTAGGACCCTTGAAAATTAAGTTTCATCCAAGAAATCGTTGTGACGAAACAGACCCTGCATAATATTGAGGACGTATTGGTTTGTCGTACTAAGAACGTAGTACAAGCCACACTACTATACGAACGTAGTAGACAGTGTGAGTTCATGCTATTAGCTTTTCAAAGAAGGGCTAACAAATATTTTCGAAGACACCTTAATTCATTTTTGTTCGGAATTTGAGAATTTCTTCGGGTAACAACAGTGATGTAAAAACCTGCCCGATTTAATTTTTAATTTTTTTTGAAAACTGATCGTCGTTCAATATATAATATAAACTCTGGAAAGAAGAAAAGGCGAACAGGGGACATATGGCAAATAATTAAATTTTTGAACTGCGAAAACGTTTCCTTCTCTAAATTACCTGCGGCTGATGAGAAGGGGAAACTGGTCCCATGCCCTCAGCAGGTTTCGAATCACTCAGTGTGTCCCAGAGTGTTGCCAAATGTGATGTGCTCTCCCAGGAAAACATCCCACAATATACAGCAGGGCGATGGCTGAATGTTTGGGGAACTATACAATCATGGTATTATTTAATAAAGCGTGACACGCTCTTCGATTTTGAGCTGCAAATTTTGGTAAAAATGTATCCCTGCGAAACACACCGATACTCGAGAACCAGGTGCCCTCATGTAAGAGTGTAATACTGCACTCCAATTTTTTTTTTAATTAATCCAAAAACATATCCGGCCTGAATTAGGTGAACATGTTCCCCTTTCTTTACTTCCTGTTTCATCTCCAGCTGATGCATTCCTAAACTTGTTATTGCTAGAACCATTATTTCCCATGGTGAAAATGAGAATTTGGCGCAACACAATTCCTCTCAATTTTATTTTTTTTTGCTCAGATGTATTACTCACATGTCTATGATAATGTGCACTATCGTTTTGGGGAATTTTTCTTGAAAAATTTATCCTTGCACCCCATTTTCTGCCTCAAGATATGTAAAAGAGGCGAACTTGGTACTGTAGTAAATATGGTATTTGCCTGTTAGGCTGTTACATAACAGGTAGACTCTTTTTTCCAACGATTTTGTCTCCAATTGTTTTTTCTGAATAAGCAATTTTTTCCCCATGCACATGATTCTATCATCCAAATGGCATAGGGGTTCTCCACAACAATATTCTCTCTACAACAGTTACTGTACAATATTTTTCTGGCACTATGCATTTACTTGAAGAGAGAGTCCACTCTTGTATTACACTGAGACCCCAACAAATGTGTTACAGATAATGCACCTACACAGGGATTATTTGACTTAGGGACACTTTAAACTTTGAACAATCACGGGGTTGTAGGTCTGTTATAGAACTGTACGTCTGTGAAAAGGTTGTAGAGTTCTTTTTACTTTTTACAAAGAAAAAGTTGGAAACTATGGACATAGAGAACTTGTTTAAATCGATAAATATAAGCCATATATAAAAAATGATTTTTATCATAAATTTAATTAAATTTATATTAAAAAAAACAGGCTAATTTTGTGCTTCTCTTTATGGAGTATTCTCCATCATCTGGTGCACAGTAGCAAAACTTGTACTTTTTCTTTGCTGTTTATCACCCAAAAGATCAGAATCTGTGGGGTTCTCTTCTGCACAATTACAATCTGTATCTTCAAAATAAATTTGATGCAATTTTTAGGGGATTTATTCCTACATTTTGATGAACTCAAGAACCAATATTTAAGAAGTTCCCAATGAAGTCTATGAGAAAATGTGATCCAACATACAGATATTTCAACATAGGGATCAAGTCCAAGCACAAATTACATCTGCATCTTGGGGTTTCATACTTGTAAGCTCAGTACAGGTGGTGCCTGAAATTCTGACCCAAATCTGTTGCTGGACTAGTGTTAAATTGTGAAGCAGTCAAATTTCAAAGCAACTGTACCCAAACTGATACAAAAGGGCGCGGAATTCAAAATAAAACACTTTAATCAGGTGTGGGGTTCACCTGGGGAGATCTTGTTTACAAGATCCAAAAGAAAAAGATAAGATGTATTTCTTTAACCCCAAACACAAATGGATCTTTCACAAATTCACACAGTAATAATGATCACACACAATTAATGACTTGACTTGATATGAAGTCTCTTGCTGTACTGACTCAGAACATTCCATGACATGGCAGCTGCAATTCTGCTCCAAGAAAACTGTAGAAGACATGAGAAACGTCTCAAATGTTCAAGATTAATTGTAGAGTAGTGTGGATAGATTTACAGTACAGTAACGTGCCAAATTATTCTGCCACAGCAACATCAAATGCAATGTTTTCTAAATTTTATCTGTTTGTGCATATCTCTCTCTCTCTCTCTCTCCCTCTGGGTCAAATTGTGGGATGGAGGTCAAATTGCAAGTCAACCTCCCCGCAAATTTGGCCATCAAATTGCAGGATGGACAAATTGTGGGGTGGTTAAATTGTCAGGTGGGTAATTTGTCATGTACCACCTGCAGTGCCACATTATGGATTGTAAGAAATAAAAAAAATTGTTGGTGATGGGCAACACTGTAAGACGTCTCTTTCACTTCCTGTGTCGTGCTCCACAGTCCAGTTGCTCTTGCATCCGGGGAATAAGGGTCCTTCTTCCAAGAGCTCCATTTTACGCTCAGTTGGTGAGACACATGTGAGCGACCCACTTTGTGGGTAACGTGGGTANTTTCTCTTCAAATGCCTGTTCATTCTGCGGTTAATAAAAAATGTTGGGAGCAAAATTCATAAGTTCCAAAATTATTATTAAAAACTAAGGAACAATTGAAAAAAATCAGGTGATGATTGATTTTATCGTGCTGAATCTGGAAAATTCCATGTCCCTCCCTTAGCATGGTGTCCAAACATGGCAAAAATGTTTTTTGTAGGACCCTTGAAAATTAAGTTTCATCCAAGAAATCGTTGTGACGAAACAGACCCTGCATTTATAACTCCTGCATAACCAAACAGCATGATTCTTGCATCATGTTCGGTGTGATGATATGCTTGCATCATCTGTCACACTCAAGTACGATAATCGAAAAGTTTCTTCCCGATTGTTTATAAAAGCTTAATTCCTTTTTGTTCGGAATTTGAGAATTTCTTCAGGTAACAACAGTGATGTAAAAACCTGCCCGATTTAATTTTTTTAATTTTATTTGAAAACTGGTCGTTGTTCAATATATAATATAAACTCTGTAAAGAAGAAAAGGCGAACAGGGGACATATGGCAAATGATTAAATTTTGAACTGCGAAAACGTTTCCTTCTCTAAATTACCTGCGGCTGATGAGAGGGGGAAACTGGTCCCATGCCCTCAGCAGGTTTCGAATCACTCAGTGTGTCCCAGAGTGTTGCCAAATGTGATGTGCTCTCCCAGGAAAACATTCTGTACAATATACAGCAGGGCGATGGCTGAATGTTTGGGGAACTATACAATCATGGTATTATTTAATAAAGCATGACACGCTTTTCGATTTTGAGCTGCAAATTTGGGTAAAAATGTATCCCTGCGAAAGACGCCGATACTTGAGAACCAGGTGCCCTCATGCTGTAAGAGTGTAAGACTGCACTCCAATTTGTTTGTTTGTTAGAAATTAATCCAAAAACAAATCCGGCCTGAATTAGGTGAAAATTTCCCCTTTCTTTACTTTCTGTTTTATTTCCAACTGATGCATTCCTAAACTTGTTATTGCTAGAACCATTATTTCCCATGGACAAAATGAGAATTGGCGCTGCACATTTCCTCTTCATTTTATTTATTTTTGCTTAGATGTACTCACATGTCTATGATAATGTGCACTATGATAATGTTGTGGGGGATTTTCCTTAAACAATTTATCCTTGCACCCCAATTTCCGCCTCAATATTTGGAAAAGAGTTGAACGTGGTACTGAAGTAAAGCCATGGCATTTGCGTGTTACATAGCAGGTAGACTCTTTTTTCAACAATTTTGTCTGGAATTGTTTTTTCTGCATAAACAACTTTTTTGGCCTCATACACATGATTCTCTCATTCAAATGG